ACACACACACACACACACACACACACACACACACACACACACACACACACACACACAAATAATTAGTACCTCAAATGACTGGCTTTAGTATTACTCCAGTTTGGAGTGGTTATTGGCAACACTCCTCAGAATATTCAATGTGTTGAATAGCTTACACTTTCAAAATGTTCTGATTTATAAGTTTGGAAAAGGTGTGGTTGGACTTTATTGGCATGAAAATCCTTCTATAAGTATCTATAAGATGCAGAGCAGAGCAAGTATTAGTCCTTTCAGTAATGCGCTGCGCTACTTAAAGGCCTATCGACCGAGTAGTAGGAGTGCATCCGACGTTTCCTTCTAAAATTAAATAAGTCCCAGCTGATGGTCCAAGCTGCTCTGATTATTTTATTTTCACCAGGATGTCGACATTCATCCGTGCGTGACAGACAGGGACGTGTTCCTCGAACTTTAAAAAAATTCCAATAAAATGAATTGTTTGGAGAAAAGATGCGCCTGCGTGTGATTTCCTGCGTCATTGTAAACTTTTAATTGTACTGTTGAGGGCCATCTCAGAATCTTTATAGACTAACTGATACTATCTCAAGGTGAAATTAATATGATGGCCCATTGTTTATGATTATAGGCTGCTTCCTAAACGCTGCAATATACTCTCAAATTATTACCCAATTTTCCAATAACACAATATCGTCCTGTTGCAGTATCTTCGGGGACACCTGTGTTGCTATACATATATAAATTCAAAGAAAGTTAGTGACTTCGGTGATTCCCGACAGCAATGGGAAGAAGAAGCAACATCATCCGACCTCAAGCATTGGAAGTGAGATTCCACTGCAGGCGAATTTGTGAAAACGTGGCAATGGCATTAGCTTGTTTACTACCCCTACAGACAAAAGGTTGCCTCACATGATGCATCCTGAATCCAAGTACAAAGAAAGCAGACAGCTGTCCAGACACAGCACTTGAATTTGACCACTAAAATCCTCTCTACGTCCACCATAAAACTGCGAATGGCTGTAGTAACGCTAAATCCCTTTGTTCCATAGAAAACCATAAACGCTGAGAATGAGAGGAATTTGGATTTCAGGAAGTGGATATTGTGCAACCTTTCTACAAAGAGGCAGCGAGATTAATTTCAGTTTGATTTTTTATTTATGTTTGGGGTTTGTTTTTGTTTTTTACTTCGAGCCGGCAAACGCACTTAAGAAATATTTAAGAAATCTGGTCTTTTGTTCCACGAATATCGGAATAAAAGTTTCAAATCTGGCGTTTGGGACGTTTGCGAGGCAAAATATCTACTCAAAGTTACTCGGAATAAAATATACTGAGATAAGCAAAAAGAAAAAGACAATAAGAATTAATTTGTGATGCGTGAAGCCCGGCTGCTGTATTTATTTATTTTGTTTTTCTCATTAACAATGACAGCTCTGGAAATATTTGTGTAAACACACTGGCCCTGTGGCCTATATGGACACATGTTTGACACATGCTGCTCCATTACTGTTGTGCTGCTGTGCAGCAACAATAATAATTCCCGCATCAAAATGTCATTGCCAATATTAACACTATGAAATACATAGTGCACTGTGTGATTAAAAATAATAATAAAAATAAACCCGAGACTTGCATTTGAAGTTGAATTTCTAAAACCCGAAAAACCGCCATACTAATTGGCCTTGGCTGTAATAAGGGTTCTGAATTATGACATTTAAAATGCATCCTTGTGTGAGCATCGCTCTGATCATAATATCATCCAAGAAATAAAGAATAAATAATAATAAAAAAAAAACAATAAATAAAAACTCCAAACTTTCCTTTCAGCGGGCAATAACAGAATCGAGGCAGACAGTCCAAAACAATACTGGCAATTCATTTCTTCATCATAATCATTTCAATGATGCGTAATAGCCCGGCATAAATAAGTAATGCGAGGGTATGAATAAGCGATGCACTAATAAAATTTAAAGGTTAAAGCTGCTGATCTCGACAACAGAAACACTGAAAGACTTCTCTGGACTCTGAAGTATTCCTACATTTAAACAAATGGCACTCCTGGTTGCATTTAAGTTGCGGTAATTGTCATAATATGGAAAAATATGACCAGCCAGCGTACATCACTTGGCAATATCCGCTTCCTGTGGGTTCAAACACTGACTGCTTTCACCTTGGTGCGCAAGGAACAAAAGTGAAAGAATAGGATTTACCATGTGTTTATTTCACTGGATGTGGGAGCCGGAGCAGAAATTCCGCTAGCAGTAGGACCCAGGAAAGTTTGATAAGGCTGCACCAAATGAGCAGGCAAAGCGTATGCAGAGTTTTAAAGCAAAATGGCCTGTATCCCAGATATGTCTCCTTATAATTCTAATTAAAAATAACTCAGACAATGAAAACATTTTAAGTGCACGTTCCAGTAGTCTTCAGACACAATGTTCAGTTTGGTGCTTTGCTAATACTCCCTTAAATATCACTGTCAAAGCACTGTTATAGCTGTCTGAGGAATTTAAGCTATGTGTTGCTACCTAGCACCAAAATTATAGCTGTTAGCCTAGGCGTCACCTTCTTGTAAAAAAAGAAAGAAAGAAAGGGGTTGCGCCAAAGTGTCGATAAAGCCATTGCCAAAAGATACAAGTTTCACCACAGACACAGAGCTACACACACACACACACACACACAAACACAAATACACAATGGGTGCAGTTTACCAGGACACTGCTCTACAGTTAGCTGAAGTCAAGGCTAAATGTGGGAAGCCTGCGTAATCATATTACTGTCCCCTCATGGCCTAGATAAGTTTAATTGGATGTAAGCCGGGCAGTTAAACTTCCCTGTATGAGCTGTGAAGAGTTCCAGGCAACACTAAAGAGGCTTGTTTTTCTTGTCTCTCTCTCTCTCTCACTCTTTTTTCTTTTTTTAAACTAAGATCTTCGTGAGTGCACCTAGCGTAAAGCGTTTGTGGTGACAACAATAGCTGACAAGATAAGGCTGTGTGTTGCTGTTACATTTAGAGCAATCTCCAGAGTGTATTTCACTTTCAACCACAAGGACATAAAGCTTTCACAACAATGTGTTAACGCTCTTTTTTATTAGAAGTATTAAATGATTGCACATCACAAGAAATCGCTCAGTATAGTGACTACTGGATTCAGCTCCCGTGTGTTATTTCGACGCCCTAAAAAGCACAGAGAGAGAGAAAGAGAGAGAGACCTGGAAACCATTTAAGCAGAGGAACAGTGAAGCGAGTCTATCTGAACAAATTCTAGAGGAACTAAACGTGAGCTTCTATTTGTGTTTTGCTAGAGGGACACTCGGCTTCACGGTTAATACTATTCTACAAAAGTCAGAATAAAGAGCATTTTATTTGAAGAGCCTACTTGAGGCTATGGTCCGTCACATGCTGATGTATTTAGAAGGATATTTTTAGGCTCGGCGTGCACTGGAATCTTCTATTTACTAGAGTTAATCTTCTAAAATACCTAAATTATTTTTTAAATCACATCACATAATAAGAAGGGGCATTTAAAAAGTGAAGAAATGAATAAATACGTTTTCTTTTCTTTCCTTTTTTTTACCGCGCTTACGATATTACGCATTGGACGGACCCAGGCGTGACGCATGTGTTTATTTTGAATTTGCTAACTTAGAGATAATGCATTTTGTTTGGTTTCGTCATATTTTGACATAACTCAACTTTAGTGTAATAATTATACTATTTTCTTTTCTTTTCTTTTTTTTTCAAGCGTTACAAGGAAATTCCTGAGGTTATTGTTTTGTTTTGTTTTTAATATTTGATCTAATCTTTTCTGATGTTACCAAGCCCAACTGAGAAAATGTACATATCCACGCATACAGCAGGGTAATCGTGATAAAGTTTTGAACGTTAATGCAAACTGAGATACTGGTGGCTGATTTCTGCGTGGGTGTCAAAAGTCGGTTTTGTTTGCGTTAGTCTTGCGA